AGTCGCGTTATAGTGGACTGTTATGTCACGAGGGATAGTGCGGGGTGCTGTAGAAAAATAATTAAGTAATTTTTTTTGGGCTTTACGAAAAGCTTTAGCGGAGGCTTTCATAGGCTCTTTGCCCCCCATATGAGCGTAAGCGACACTTTTTTTTTCCTCATCCTTGATTAAAGTCAAAGAGGTGAAACTAAAGCGACGCCCCCCTTTGGTTACTTTAACCGGTCGCCAAGTTTTCAGAATAGTTTTTTGAATATGGGATCGAAAATACTCTCTTTTTTCTCTTTCTCTGCCTCTGAAATCCGAAAATGCTCTGCTTTTCCGATTTGTTGGCAAGTCAGTATTATCCTCGCTATTGGTAGATTCTGGTTTGTTTGTTATTTCTGGAACCGGCTTTTCCTTAATTTCTTCCGTGCCGATTAATTGACCTTCGACTAGTTCAACAACCTTTTCTTTTTCCAAACTATTGTGACTTTTCTCTATTTCCATGCAAATTAAAAATTAATTCCTGATTCCCGCAGGGTTTGGCAAAATGCTTCTATCTTGCCATGATAAGGACGACCATTGCGGTCAAAAACGATTTTTTTTTGACCGGATTTTTTTAACTTTTCAGCAAACACTTCGCCCAGTTTTTTAGCATAATCTCTATTCTTGAGGGAAAAATTATTATCTTTTTCCACAAAATCCTGGGTGGAAGAGGCAAGGAGAGTATGGCCAGCCGCATCGTCAATGGCTTGGACTCGCAAGTAGCGGTTTGATTCACTTAAGACTACTCGGGGGCTTGCCACAGAACCTTTAATTAAGATACTTCTTCTTTTACGAATCTTGCGACGGGTTTTTTTCTCGTTGGATATCGTCATATATACTATTATTTTATTTATTTTTACAAACTCAGTGAACTACCCCTACTTGCAGAAGTAGGAGTTTCTCAATTCTACACAGCCTCTAACGAGACTGCTCCTTGAAGGGTCGAACCGACCCATTCTGCTCGTTTCAATATATTACGAGCAGCATTTATATCTCGATTGTCTGAATAAGGGCAAAAAGAACAAGTGAACTTCCTTTGACTTAATTGGAGTTTTTGCTCTCTTTGCTTATCACATTCACTACAAATCTGACTAGTGTTTTTAGCATTTACTTCTACTCCCTGCTTACCAGTTTCTGCCACTTTGTAAGCAAGGATAGTTAGAAATAACTTTCACCCAGCATCATTGATGCTTTTGGCTAAATACTTATTCTTAACCATGTTTTTAATGGCTAATTTCTCATGGGCTATACCATCATATTTTTCCACCAACTCTTTGGCTAATTTATGGGCTAAATCTTTTCTTTGGTTGCTAACTTTCTCATGCTGTTTAGCCAAAAGAATTACGGCTTTCTTTCTCCGTTTGCTCTTCTTAATCCTACGGCTAACTTTCCTTTGGGCTTTGGCTAATTGTTTTTCACTCTTTCGATAAGTTTTGGGTGCTTGGTAAAGTTCACCCTCACTAGTAGCCAAAAAGGAAGTTAAGCCTAAATCAATACCAACCTTTTTATTTGTCTTTGGTAGCAATTTGGACTCAACTTCACAAGAGAAGCAAGCATAATATTTCCCATTCTTAACTATGATAGAGCAAGTTTTAATTTCTCCCACTAGTTCTCGGTGAAGTTTAATTTTCACCTTACCAATGTTGGCTAACCTTAATTTGTCTTGTTCTAATTTATAACTCCCATTATTTTGGGAGTAAGTGAAACTGTCATATCTCCCAAAAGATTTGAACCTTGGATAACCTGCTTTGCTTGTTTTACTTTTTAATCTCAAAAATAAGCCTTGAAAAGCCTTTTTAACTCTTTGGGCTACATCTTGGAGAACTTGGGAATAAATGCCTCGGAGATTATGATTAGTTTCTTTTAGTTCAGGTAAAGAGTTTTGTTGTTGGGTATAACTGACTTTCTTTTGCTCTTTTTCATATTTATCCCTCCTTTCGGCTAGGAAGTAGTTATAGAGCCAACGACAAGTTTCTAATATTTTGTCAATTAGAACTTTCTCTTGTTGATTAGGATACAAGCGATATTTATAACTTTTTCTCATGGTCTTTTATTTTTCCTTGGTTTCTAATATATTCTTTAACCCAAGTTAGCAAGAAGTCCCCCATCCTCTTTTAGGTGGTGGGATGAATTGCTAAAATATAACATATACTTAAAAGTATAAACAAAGGATGAAATAACTCCATGAAATAAATGGAGATAAAGTTCTCACGAACACTTGCTAGTTGGCAAGAATGGCTCGGTTTGAGCCTTCGGGGAGACTAGGTGATAGCCTTGTCTAGGAACCGAGAAGCCCCCACTTCTATAAGTGGTGGGTAGTTCACTAGTTTCAATTGGAGTTCCACCCGTAGTTAGTAAACAAAAACTTCAAATCCAAAAATATTCCTTTGCTCTCCGAGAATGCTTTGCATTTCTTAAGACCAAATGGAAATTAAACGCAATTCATCCCCTAGTTATAGAACAAGAGGACTTCTTGGTCAAGGATGGGTTAAAATCTTTTTCTCCTTATAGATCTTTTTTTCTTCTTGCTAAACACTAGATAACCAATCATTATGAGAAATATAACTCCCATAATTACAATTAATATAATCAAAAAAATATTTTCTTTTCCTAACCCATCTCTTTTATTAGAATCATACAAAGATTGTTGCTGGCCTTGGGCTTGAAAAAGTTGTTTTTTCATCTTATACAAAGTGTCAAGCGATCCCTGGTTATCGCGATGACTTTCTCCTTGATAGAGAGGGTTGGATTTCACATTTTGATAGGCGACTTCAAGGGCTTCCAAATCAACGGCACTTTGTAAAGATTTTTCTAATCGGCTAAGTTCGGCCAGTTGTTGGGGGTCGAGGGTTGGTTTTTGCTGTGGCTTGTTTTGGTTGTGAGAACATTGAGGAGCATGGTGCGGGCTGGCTCAAGAACATTCCGGACAAATATTTTTTTTATCATTAGTATTGCTACTACTATCATTTTCATACTGGTCGCGGTCGT